TATGCTCTAATCGATATTTTAAATCTTTTATCACCTGCAAACAATGCATTATGTTTTTTAATTTAATTAATCCGTTTAATTTGCTCGAACCGTTCCAGTAAACCGATTTTTTAACAGATTTTCAAGTTTTAAGCCTTTATTTGATTTTTAAATAGTGTTTAAATCATATCGTAATCATTCTTTTTAGATAATTTTATCTCTCATCGTCGTTATGCAAACTCATCATTTTCTCTCTCTTTCTCTCGTCTTTTTAATATCCATCATTTTAAATGGATTAAATAACAGCCGAATTTATTCAAAGTCTGATGGCAATATAATGTCTTATTGGAAGTATCAATAGATATATATAGTATTAGAAGCCAGGTTCCTTACAGGAGCGATAGCAATTTATTATTACTATTGTTAAATGAAGATGACAACGCATATTATAATTAATTAGATAACATCAGCGACAATTAAAAAACACAATCTGTCTACTCGCGGAATTACCTCTTCGGAAAAGGTAACTTTGTACGGTCTAATGTCATTGTTGACAGAGCCCTCGGTGCCGGGCGTCCACCAGGTTTCCGGTAACTTCGTTAACTTTGGCGACCCACGGGAGCAAAAGTATCTTCTCGTTAAAGTAAACAGTATTGCGCAGCAACCGAGGAGAAACGCGCCGCACAGAAGACAAACCATTATTTAAGCAAGTGTTAATATGTCGTTCGAACACAATATACTATACGCATCCACTCGCCGATAAGTATCAGTACGTACTGCACCGTTCTGATCTACCCATCTACCGATTACGGCATGACTAAGCACGACGCATTAGCTGCGTTCCGCAAAGCACATCATGCATATGATTTATCCTTTTATCTTTGTTTAACATTTGATGAACAACAAGAATACCATGAAACATCATGCGCATGATGCGCTTTGCGGAACGCAGCCATTATTGCATCGCGAATTGATGATGACTACAGCTGTGTGATCCAATGAGGAGCACGGCAACATATATTATATGTTACGGGCGACAAAATCTCGAAAATTTGCAAACGAGAGCGTATGCAGTTCAAAGAGAAAGGCGAAACTTTTCGATTGGCGTTTAAAAAGCTTCGCAGTCGAATTTATTCTTTCAGCTATTCTACGTGCGATCGATTATTCGTCTCGTGGAAGAACAAAAAGGATTTGAATTCTGAAGGAATTTTTGGCACGATCGAGATCCTGGGGAATCCATCCACGTCCGCGCTAAATACTGGATTGTCATCTACGCACGTGCACACAGGATGCCATTATTGCAACGCGACTTGTTTTAACTGTGCATAACATGTAGGTAGCGGTACTTCGTAAAATGTTGACTCTGAAAATCATGGAACCTCAGAGAAAATAAGGCAGAAGTTTGCATTGAAAAATTGCCGTTTCATCAATTAACATCGATATAATTATTTGCGGGAGTTTGAGAATAATAAAACTTCGGTTGATTTTAAGTTTTGGCGAGTAATTTTTGGTTGAGAAACACCTGCGCGGTATTCTCTACATGTTTATTTACATATTAATAATATAATTTAATTTTTAAACAGCTACGATTTTTAATCTTCTTGCTCTGTTCGACGCAGAAGGAAAAGGAAGAATTAAATTAGGCATAATGAATTGTATTATAGATAATTCACAATTTGCAAAATTATATATCCTGCTGCATTAATCGTCGATTATTTACGTTGATCTTATCAAAGTCGCCCTCGTGGTGTCTAAATTTTGCTAAATAACTATGGGAAACTCGACGTTATTTCTAATCTAATTTTGCAGATGTTTCCCTTATTTACGAGATATATATCTGCCTTCGGAGAAAAAAAAGATTATGCATTTTGGAGTCCAAACAGATCCATCGAATTCAATTACAGAACAACGAGATCGGAGAATCTTATTCTCTCATCTCGACGAGAACGGAGGAATATTCCTCGAAGGAATAATAAACATTGATATAACCTCGAGAATGACTGCGGGATGATAGTGGTAATCAGGAGGGATAGTTCCTCGATATCGTATCGACGACCAATAGAACATACTAATGCCCATTTCTACCAATGTAAATTAAATTTAATCTCGGTTTTATTTATTTTTTATGTTTTTCTAATTCTTAGAACTAAAAAAAGATACAAAATAAGTTAAACCAAGATTAAAGATAATCTACATTGGTAGAAATGGCCACAATCGGACCAAATAAGCGTCTGGTAATAAGTGACTGGATTAACCGAATCGGCTCGCATTGTCGAAAGCACATTGTCGAGTAAGTATTGAGAACATGAAGAAAAAACAATAATATACTAATTTTATGAGACAAATAAACATTATTAATGTCTGTTGAGTTTTATTGTGACATTACAGCTATTGTACAGAACTTTCCATTGAATATCTTTAGTCTTTGCGAGGGTCTTTTCTCGATTTGTTGAATTTTTAGTGCTTAATATATTAATTATGACATATTATACCTCATATCATTTGATGTATTTATTTTTTGTATTATTACATATTAAGTATTAACAGTTTTTTTAAATACAACAAGACAAATATCGTACAGGAATCAGTTATTCTTGAAAAATAGTTTATTAATATATATGTCACATTAATTAATCGAGAATTATTTATATAATAAATATTAATAAATTATTAATTTTTTATATTTGTTGTAATTTGTTGTCCATTTATATTTGCGAGAAATTCCGACGAGATATTCGCCTACTGATTTACCTTGCACGATATTCGAAATTTTGTTTGTTGCTTTGACCTTGTCAGAGGCAAATACCAACGTTTAGATTTCTTTTTGTATAATCGCGAGGCTTTGTATTATTCATTAATTGGCAATTGCATATTTCGAACATTAAAGATAAGTAAGCCATCACACTGTTTTAGAGTTTTAGATATCGTACAACCACGAGGAATTGTATTATTCATTGTAATTACATAGACTAATGCAAACACTAGAGATATGATAAGTCACGCTTTGAATTCCAGAATATTCAGAAATATCGAGATTTTTATTTTGTAACATTATATTATGTAACATATGCAGATATAAATTTATGCGGAAGATTCGCGGCATAAAGTAAAACAAGTCTCTACAAGTCTTTACAAGAAATTACTAGCTAGCTCTTATTGATACTATTTAATTTTAATTATGATGATATTCGTACTTTAGCCAAGAATCTCCTTTATGTATGCCAAATGTCGAACATATATATATTAATCCGAATGAACTTATATTCTCTATTTTTTTAGTTTTATTTTATCGTTAAAATCTTTGTCTTTCTTATTCCGTAACACCTCTCTTAATCTGACCTTATGTGTCTCCGAGCGAAGTTCCGAGTTCTGGATTTCCAAGTGTCACGTAGATAGTTTTATTTATCAATATAAATAACTTAATTTGGGTTTATATATATAAAAATTAAATTAATACTTATTAAAATTTATTTTTTTTCCACAACGTCTATACATTTTCAACATTTATGCAACAACCAAATTGATAAAATAACTGAAAACATATAACTTCGATATATCTTAATTCTTAAACTTCATAAAATAATATCTAAAATACAAAGTATTGAGAACATCCTTTCCGCAGTAATAAAGATAAAAAGATCGTTATGTTATATAAACAAACTGTAAATAGCAAATCTTTATAAAAGAGTTAAAAATAGATTATATCCTTATAATTTCAAATAATTCGCGTTTATGCTTTTCTCGTTTATGAACGTTTGTCCTCTTCTTCGTAAATGATTGTTTCCCTGTGCTTTTTGTTCCACTTCTCCATCTCGTCGATAGAAATCCATATATCATTTGCGAGTAACTCGGGCTCCTCGAATGCCGCGAAATGACCACCTCGAGGCATTTTGGTAATTCGTAAGAGATTCACGAATCGTGTTCTCAGTTCGTCCGGACTTTGTTCCATGATTTCATGAGGGAATTGCGCACAGGCGCTGGGAACTTTAACGGGTATCCTATAAAAAAAAGATATTTGCAGTTATGTTGCGATAACAATAATTCTCGCGATGACATTGCAGTTACATACGAATCCAGGATCGCCAACAGGGATATATTCGACTTGGTGCATTGTTCAGCATATATTCTCATGGCCGTAGTCATACTATTCGACACCCAATAGATCATTAGATTGTCGATCAACTCGTCGTACGTATATTTCTCCAGAAATCCACCGTCTTCCCTGTATTTGTAAGACACATTTGTGCCGGTGGAAAACTTCTCGATGATATACGATGCTAAG